TGTAATGTACAATGTACACACACATATACTATACTAAATATTATATATATATATATATTATACTATCTTTATACGAATTAAATTAAATTGGTCTTTTGTTTATTTTTAATATAATTAACTACTAATTATTTTTTATTCATAATCATCATCAATCGGATCTTAGAATTAATTAACTAAAACATCTAAGTGGACAATTTAAATGTACTAGGGCCAAACAAACAGATTGGAGGTATCAAATAAAACAGCAAAAAAAGCCTGTGCACAAGTTAACTTCTCCTAAGGAAGATTCTATTTGTATGGCTATGCCTTCTGGGGACGTGGAAGCGTACATTCAAGAAGTTTGAATCCGTAGTTTAGATTGGCCAGTTCGAAGTCACAAAACATCATTGAAGAAGAGTGGGAACGTATTCCTCAATACGTTATTAAAAACACAGTGGAAACGTCCCGAAAGATTCACGCTGGGATTTTGGCAAGAGGTAACACTCGTTATTAGGTACTTACTATTTATTAAATTAAAAAAGTAAAAAAATCTTGTTTTTATTGCCGACTAATTGTTTGCTTTTAAAGAATTCATCAAAAATACATTTATAAATACACACGATTATATTTCAATTAAATTTCATTTAACTGAAATCGACAATCATAAAAGAATTATCGATTTTTTTCTGCAAAAGAATTTATAGTTTGGTTGTCATGTCAACCGCTTCAGATAACTAGCAAGAAACTGTACAAAAAGTTCGCTTTTTGTGACGACGTTTATTTTACGCAATAACTTTGGGCTTCGGGGATTTGAGGCGGCAATATATTTTACGCGTTTTTTAAATCAACATTTATGTATTAAGTGCGAAAGTGGCATTTAAAGGTATTAATTGTAATTTATTGTAGATTATATAAGGTAAACGTGGTGATAAGATTAATTATAGACTATTTTAGACTATCAAAAATATATCAACTAACGAAAACAAATAATTTAAAATTATTGATTAGTTTCTTGAACTATACTGCATACAGCAAAATATATATGGCGGAATTTATAAGATAAAAAATGGCCTAACATATATACGTGAAATGTACAAGAATATATATAATTTAATGTCAAAAGTATCCCTTATCTATAGCAGTTATTAGCAGCTAGGTCCCCAGTATTTTTAATGAAAGCTGCGGCGTCGGGCGGTCGGGCGCTCAGTATTAATCTTAGCGGACCTCCTGTGCCCCCTTGCGCGCCTGGTAGGTGGCATCGAAGGATCCCTGAGGGGGAGACATTTCCCCGATTTTCTCCGTTTTTCACGTGTTTTTTATGCACTAACGTCGGCTGGCTTAGAAAAATGTGTAATCTTTTTAGATGCAATTGTTTAGCGCTCCGCTTTGGCTTTGTATCCAATTAAGAGGTTTTTCCAGTCAACGCCTAACGAACGCGTATACACCATACCTGGTCATCTTAATATTAATAGATCAAGGTCTTTTTTACTTATGAAGCTTACGTTTTTCAAATGCTTGTTTAATTCGAATTTATTTTTGAAGTTATGCTTCTTTAGGCGCGTTATGAAAAATTAATGAGAGTGAAATTTTACGATGCGCGCGCACCGTGACACAAAATTAACAATGAAGTTGCCCACATAATTTAAAAACAATATTCGAATAATAATAGAATTTATGTTACATTTAATGTAAGAGAATAATAATAAATATTTATTTATTTAATTTTACAAATGTAAAATGAACTTTATTGACTATAATGACTCCTTTTCCAGTCTTTGATTATTTAATTGTAATAAATAAAAATAAATAATTATTCAATGCATGCATGCAATCAAAAACTATCTTTAATAATGCACAAAGAAATACAACTTCTTACGCGCGTAATACACGCACCCTTTTTTTACTCTTTAAATGTAATTTAATTTGACGAAATGAATCAAATTACGACTAATCAATAATAATGTTTTTTTTTATATATTCATTCATCTTTGAAATTTTTTTAACTAGCTCCTAAGGATCACTTGTGATTTAATAAGTACTTACAAAGTTGTATGAATCCCCAGCGGTGACTCAGTTTTTCAGTACCGAAATCGGACGCCATCTGACCGTATTTTTCATTCGACAAACGAGAATGTCCGTGTAAAAAATAGCGTCTCGATCTTTGCTGGCAAAAAATCCGCCGAAAAGGAAGCTTTCAACCATTAGGGTATTATCGGGGTAGGAGGGTGAAAATCAGAAAAAATTGCGCCGAGCCCACCCTTTCCTTTCGTAACCGTCGCCTCCCTACTTCCCGCTAGGGGGCGCACATGTGGTGGCGAATTACATAAACGACAGGTGAATTTGGAAAATTAAAGTTGTGTCACGGGGGTCTGATGATAGTTTTAACCGACTAATGCGAACAAACTGAACGAATCTATTGTAAAAAAAATCCATATTATCAACAAATACGAACCATAAGTTTTAAAATGTTTTTTACAGACGAGCCAAAAGCTACAGCTATATTTTAAAATTATATATAAACTGTGAAAGTCTGAGTTATATTTAAATACATAAATATAAGGAATACAGACCTAATATTATAAAATAAAAATAAATCAGTGGCGCTACAACAAGTCTGGGCGATTTCTATCTCTGTTTTATGATAATTTGTCAATCTAATAGGCAAGAAGGTGATGAGTCCCCTGTGCCTGACACACGCCGTCGACTTTTTGGGTCTAAGGCAATCCGGTTACCTCACGATGTTCTCCTTCACCGTTCGAGTGAATGTTAAATACACACAGAATGAAAGATCATTGGTCTACAGCCGGGGATCGAACGTATGATCTCAGGGATGAGAGTCGCACGCTAATGCTCTATTAACATTTATATATTAAGTGCGAAAGTGGTATTTAAATGTAATAAAAGAAAAAAGCAATATAAATCTCACAACATAAGTACCAGAGTCGCATGCAACACGAAGAGCGCTAATTTACGTCGGGTAAATAGCGGGTGCGGCTAGAGCGGGCCCGAAATGATTATTTAATAGTAACCTTACCGTGCCCAAGGGTGTAGAGTAGACCCTTCTAGCCCTAGAAAAAGTTTCGCCCTACATAGCTACACGAGTAATGTGGCTAGAGAATGTTTGCCACAATTCAGCTGTAGAATTTAGAATAAATGCCAGTTTACGCCAGAGTTATACATTGCCATATTATGTACTTATAATAAATGTTTCCTATATAAAATCTAGAAAGTAATTAGCGAAACTAATTCGGTTTCTGTAACAAAAAGTTATTCAAAATTTAAAGAATCATTCTTAAAATCGTTTAAATGTAACGGACTTTTTTGCCTAGCCCTCTTGTGTGTCACTTCAGACATAAAAACGTGGCACAGGCATAAATTGATTTCACACACAAAGTTTGATAATAAAAAAATGTTACCAAGGCATCATCATTCCACAAGAAAACATAGAAACTAACCAGGGGAACATATTAAGGGAATAGTTATATTAAGGCGCGTCCGGCGACCCTGTCAGTGCAGATTATATGGGGTTGGGTACCAAGGGCCCCCGGGGGTAAGAGCGTGATAGTCCCATCTTACAATAGCTGGGGTACGGTACAGGGTTTTATCAATGTAACACAAATATACAGGTATTACGCTGAACTGACATTCTTTAATTAAATTACAATATTATTATTGAAGTGAAACTTCTTTAGGCGCATGAGGGTAAAATTGTTACGGAACGTCACGAAGATGTGCAGCGTTTTTGACGAATTTTTTTTCTGTAATAAAGATGTGCTTGTATAATAATATTGTGTGAGACTAGTTTATTAAATATTGGCAAAAAACGAATTTTTTTTTCATCTTTAATTTTTTTTTCATCTGTAACTTTTGCAATTTTTTATGTGCATACACGCTTTTGGCACATTTTTCTAGACGTCATTCCGGATCCAATGAGCTATCGCACATAATTTTAAGAGCAGTATCTCTATTTTGTACCATTTTCAACTTGTCGACTAGACTGTTACAAAGAAGTTTCACTTATGACATGTGTACACTGTACGTTGTACTCACGCACTTTTTTTATAATATGTCGACGAAAGTGGCAATTCTCTTGTCTCGGAGAAGAATACTCACACTTTCAAAAATAAATATTAAATGCACAAATTGCAAGACCTGGTATCAGAAATAGCCGCATCCAGAATTACGACCTTTGGACACTGTAGTAATGATTTACGCACCCTTTAAACATTTGAAGGTCGTATAAAACGATCAAGTTCCAAACTGACAAAAATCAACAAAATCTAATATGAATCTAGAATAACTAAGATTTTGATTTTGCCTATTTTTTGTTTAGTTTTTAGATAAAATTCGACCTATTTCTATCGTAGCATTGCTACGAAAGAGCTACGGACTTTTTTTACAGTTAAGGACGTTAAATAACGCTGTATAATTTTAAATACTAGTTTTAATATTGCTTTAATAATGTTCAAATTAGACACAGTTTATTATTTGTCTGTAAACCTAGATTCGAGTCCCACGTAAACACATTCTAAAAAAATAACTTGTAAGAAAGCTTGCAATATAACTCTTAGAAGCGAGTACAAGTTAAGAAATCAAGCATAGTGTATTTAAATCTAAATAAAACCTTTAGTCGTTGAATAATGTCCACGCTTGACCCTCCGTGATATGTCACCCCACGTATAGTTTTTCTCCCTTGCCCCGACTGTGCCCTGATTGATTCTTACTTCAATGATTAACAGTTTTTTCTAGCTGATGACCCAGCTTATAAAATACAACATTGTCGGATAAATATTTATTTTACTTTTAATGCAGAACTTTTGTCAGTTATTCTCGATTTTGGGGAATAAAAAATCTTAGGGAATTTAAAGGACCTTAAACTAATATCGGGGGGTATTTCAGCTCTATTTCGTAATAAAAAACAACCCCCCGCCGCATTACTTTCGGATGGTTAATCCCCGTTGCGTGCGAGACACCTCAGTCGGTCCTACCAGGCGCTAATACGTAGCAAGGAGGTGGGTGAATTACTGCGGCGCCCTGACGGCGGGTCTCGCTAATTCTGTTAAAATTCTCAGTATGCTATACTCGCCTGGTAACGACGGTTTGGGTACCGGGGAGGGTTTACACCCCTGTAAGCCTTATGTGCCTTTTTATAGAAGCATTCAAAATGTAGACGCTGCTAAACGTACTTTGTTGAGGTTAATAAAGAAGGGTCTCATACCCTGTAAACATACATACATGTAATATGTAATAAAAGATCAAACAAGTCGGGTTTATGTAAAACCAAAGCAATTATTACCGTCCATTATATAGAACATAATAACACTACTGTATCCGACTTAGCATAGACAAGTAATCCATATTACATTACTCAAAAATTCAGTCATTTGATCATTAAGTTAACACAATGTACACTTATGAACGGACATAAAGAAATACATATTAAAATGCTTCTAATTTTACATTACTGCCAGTTCTCAAATCAAGGGCGTAGAACGGACGGAAAGAACTGGCAATTAAATTTCCGCCACTCTTTTTATTCGCCACGTTACACACGTTCGTACACGTTTTTAGTTTTACAAAATGTTCCACATGATATCTTAAAGTAATTATTATAAAATAAAAATCAAAGATTTGTCCTCTATCAGCTGTAGGTATGGTGAAATAGGAGCACGCACTTACATGCTCGATATCTTAGTCTAAGCATTCACTATGTAATATATATTTTACCCATATTCTACAGTTGATTGCGTCCTACAGAAGCATTGCTCATGATTATTCCGTAATTAACAAATCAATCTGCGATTTTTGTCAAATAAGACCTCAATTTCGAACAACTAAATAATCGAATTGCAATATTCGATTTTCAACCCTGCAAGTGAGGGGTCGTTAGGACCCCTCGTCACCATCGTGAGGGACAGAATATGATTATAATTCAAGGCCAAGTCTTCCCTATAAAAGGAGTCTTTATAATTAACAATACATATATACAAATTCAAGGTTACAGCTCCATTCCTTTTTAAATAGTTTGACAGTTCTTTTCTTTAGCAATATCTCACTCGTAGGAATAACGAACGTTCTTGGAAACCGGACGATAGGTAAGAGATAGAGAGAATAGAAACGGGGGAAAATAACAGAAAGCCAACAAAATTAATAATTATTTCATTAAGAGTCACTTCACTGCTATACCGTTTAAAACATCTTAGGAAAAGAAACCGCCTTGAATTCATGGTATCCTAGTCCGTAGTATAAACAAGGACCTTCTTCCTGTTGTCCTGTTAGAAATTTAAAATAGCCAGCCTCCTTGTAACGTGAAATATAGTTTGTGTGTTTGTTTAATTTTAAAATTCATATTGCATTTTAAAGTTTATAAACTAAACCAGTTTTCAACGAAACAATTGATAGCTAGTGGAAAAAGGAAGCACGAAAATTGAAAAGTCTTAATTAGTGAAATAGGTTATTAAAAATAATCTGTTACTATATTCTGCAATATATAATTCAAATAATACATAGAGTATATACTAAGTATATTTATTTTATACTTTTATACGTTTTAATGTATATACTATTACTATCATTAGTGACACATTGGTAACGAAAAGTTTAGCCAAACTGTGTGGTCGTAATTCATTGTAAATTCAAACACTTTTTAGCTTATGTTTTATTGGACGTAGAAAATCCCAATATAGAGAAAGATGTTTCACAATACTTTGGGTCTAAGATCTCGGTATAATTATCTAGACTCATCAACATTTATAATTGGAGTCTTTCGTTATTATTTCGCTGGCCATTTACCAAACTACTCTGCCGTAGGTATTCATACTTTTAACCTAAAGACGTAACAGTAACATACTGTGGCCAAACTAAACAAACTTCTAATCTCTGACATCAAAGCAGTCGCACGGACCGCAAGTGGCGGCCGACGAATAAAATAGTCCGCTGTTATTAACAGCCCCTCTTCGTGGGTGTTGCAGATATATAGCTCATGGAACTGACAATACTCTATTGTTTGGTGGAAATCTTATTTATTTAATTTAATTTAATCTTATAAAAAAATATAGAACCTTAACCTAAAATGATACAAAAAAAAAGTGCGTGTGTACAAAGTACACATGTCAGAAATGAAACTTCTTTGTAAATTAATTATTACTAAGGTAAAAGCACCAATAGATGATCATGTACCAGTATATGATCACTCCATGTATTTGTATATCTATATTCACACTGTTGTTTACGTGCTAATGATAGTATAAATAAATAAATGCGTTTACTGCACAAGACGTTATGCGACAGAATTGCTAAAGTTCTAATATGTAACTACTAAACGAATACATCAACCAATAGCGTGTATTTTTTCTCTATCTCCCTTACTCTCTCTCTCTCAATCATTCTCAATATAGTTCCCTCCCTTTTCTTCGACAAAAACGCTGCACATCTTCGTGACTAGGATATGTTTAAGAAACATTTATGCAGAAGATTTTTAGAAGACTAACATCTTTATGTAGCCAATCGTATAGAGTCGGGCAGCCGATTCCACAACTTAATGGCGGAAATCCCAAACGAATTGCCTAAGAAGGATGAGCTGAGAGACGGAATTTTCAAAAAGCATCTATTTGCGTAATCTTAATATATATAAATCACGTGTCACGTTGTTTGTCCGCGATGGACTCCTAAACTACTTACCCGTTTTTAAATTAAATTTGCACACCGTGTGCAGTTTGATCCAACTTAAAAGATAGGATAGCTTACTTCTTAATTTATAGCCGAAATATTATTTTATTGCAAATTATTTGTTTATTATTTGAGCCACAATTCTAACAGATGGCGCTGTGTTGAAAGTACCAACGTTTCACATAAGCTACAATTTAATGGCATAACCACCAAAAAAGCATGGTGATCCCCATGACTTGTGTGCTTCTACCGTTTCCCTTGAATAGTTTACTACTATGTAATATATCAAAAACCTTAGCCACAGCAACGCTTGGCCGAGTCTGCTAGTATAGTTATAAGGACCTGAGAATTGGAATTCATTTTTAAGATAAGAGGGAGTTTTGGGATTGAAAAGAATTGAGTATAGAAGTTAAAGGAGAGGAGCGTCACGTCTAAATCGAATAGGTAGCCATCCGAACTTCCTGCGGAATTTAGTCACATGGTCATATTTCCTAAGACCAAATATAAAACGTATGCACATAAAAACGCTCAGTTGTGGAACAACAGACGGCGAGGTGATAGGGGTAGAATTTTGTATTCTGCCTCTTTTCTCAGTCATCGAGTAATGCGTAATAACTTGAATAGATATTCAAGTTATTAAAATACTTGTAATAGGGAATAAATGCTTAATAAAAGCCACATCTAGGTGACACAGCTCCACGCATCCGTATCCGAGAAAAAAGGGAGGTAGGGTCGAATATCCCAACGAGGGGGTCGGCAATGGAGTGAAGGAGCCCCAATCAATCTTACAAGTCGGGTTGGAGGCACTTTCGGAGGTCGCAGGAACCCTCTACACCCCAACTGACCCTCCCCACAAGGTCCGAAACTTTTGTAGATATTCCCGTTTTATGTGATTAATGTAGCGTTTATGACCGTACTATCATACCGGTTTAATGAAATTGCACTATTGTCTAATAACTTTGTTGATTTCGTCAAATAAAATATAAAGATATTTTTGTAACGCTTTTTTATTGCAATTGAAGAATTATCGCATTAGATATGTAGAAGCAATAGCGCTGGTATCAGATGCCAAATCATTATTACTATCGACCATTGAATAGTCGTTAATTTATAGATCTTGCAACATTGACAAATTAAATAATCCAATCGTATTAACGGTTTTCAACTAATTTGACTGTTATTAAATTATTCTTACAATGGCGGGTGGCACTAACACCATTGCTTCAACATTAATAATTAAGACTATGAAATTACTACAGAGAAATAGTCGATAATTTGTAGATCTATTAATATTGGCAATTCAAACAAACCACAGAAGCGTTTTGAACTAATTTGACTTTGATGTTATTATATTATTATTACAATGGCAGCTGATACCAGCGCCATTACTTCGACATACATAAATAAAAATGAATAGCAGAATATATTGCTAAGAGAAAATCTCAAAGTTTTCTCAAAATGTTTTCCTTCACCGTTTGAGCGAATGTGAGGGCACATAGAAAGAAAGTCCATTGGTGCACAGCCGAGGATCGAACCTACGGCCTCAGGGATGAGAGTCGCGCGATAAAGCCACTAGGCTAACACAATAGATGGTTAAATTTTGCCTTAAAAATTTTGACCAGAATCTCTAGAATACTCAGATCTAAATAGTTATGAATTGTTTGGTCCAACACCTTTACACACATCAAAACATTCGCTTTATTGCAATCCTAATACGACTTTAAAATCTTCAAGAAAAGAGCGAACCAATTCTTAAAAAGCCCGCAACGCACTCGCGAGCCCTCTGGTATTGAGAGTATCGTTGGGCTACTGCACGTTTGCCCCTTGATATAAAAAAATCTTGCAGTAAAAAATTACGTTCTCCGCAAATTTGCCAATCTTAAGGGATAATTTCCAAACAACTATCTACATCACTCCGGCAAAAAAGCATCAGAAAGCGAGTTGCTCACTTTTCCGCCGGGCATCGTTTTTGTGTCTTGTCTAACCCCCGACCACCCACCGCCTCGCCTCAAGCGAGAAAAATGAGTTAGAAAAGATGCGTCTCCCGATTATACTGTACGTCCCTTTGTGTGAGCGATTCGAATTCCGAATCAATCGGTGTACCCCGCCGGCGGTCGATGGCTGCCTATCAACATAATGTGTCATCGCGCCTACGAAGCCTATTATAGTATCAAGATATAAGGGTGGGATTCCAAGTCGAGTATTAGCGCTAAGTGACTGACGTATACATGTAAAACGAAGTCTAAACTCAGTTAAAAAATACATCAGTGGCGCTACAACCTCTTGGCCTCAGATTTCTGAATCTGTTTCATGATCATTTTTAAATCAAATAGGCAAGTAGGTGATCAGCCTCCAGTGCCTGACACACGCCGTCGAATTTTTGGGTCTAAGACATGTCGGTTTCCTCACGATGTTTTCCTTCGAAGAAGATTGAAATATAACAAGTGGCGTCTAGCTAAAAGCTCAACAAGGGTTTCGAGGTACTGAGCCTCTTTAATTATATAGCGAAAGCCCAGTAGTGGACAGTGGGAAACAGGCAAATGCTTTTGACATAAATAAAGCATTTGATTTGGTTGACCATGGCCAGCTTTTGCAGAAGCTCATGTAGGCTTTATTACACTTATTAAACTTTAAGACACGTTTTATAGAAAATCGCAATCAGTATACGGAAACGAAAGTAGTCGTAGTAAAATATACTGGGCGTAGGTCAGAGGCTTACTTTACGAGATCAAGGGTTACACAAGGTAGTAACTTGGGACCGTTGGAATTTATAAGTTTGCTGAATGACTTTTTGCCGATGATCCTTAACTATACTACACTTTGCAAATGTTCATCTTTCTCGAGAGCCTCGATAGTCGATACAATATAGTTTCAGTAGTGTAACGTTGGCAAGAGTTTCACGATCGCATCAAGGTACGCAAAGGGGTTTACAGAAAGCTGGGATTTATATAGGAATATCAGTGCAATCATGCCCTTATACAGTGCTCTTGTCAAGTTACTTGGAGTACAAGTTCAAGCGAGTATATTATAAATTCACCCGTTGTCTCTGAGATACTGTATTAAGTGTATGCTTATATACCCGACCCTATCTGTTCTGGGTATGGTATGGTGTGACCAGCCTCAGGAGACAGCTATATATACTAATATATATATAGCATAAAGTTACCGCCGCCCATAGACACTACTACTACTATTAAAATATATTATAACGTCATCAAATTAATATTAATTATAAGGTTTCACGCAAATATATTTATAAGGGGAAAAAATTGAAATTTGAAATACATAAATTGATTATTTTCAAGACAATTGTAAGACAATTCAAGGCACTCGTACTTCGCCGTAAATGTATTTGCACACTAAAATTAAACATTAATTTATCAGAGTTTATCAAAGGCGTGTTTGTGGCATGATACAACTTTGTACACAACATTTTGGAAGCTTGGAGAGAAAAATATTATGCGGTTAACCGTAAACAATTTCATGATCAGTAGCCCCAACCGACTTTTGTTTATTAGGTAAAATATTTTAGCCAAATTTGTTTTACCTATTGTTAAAAAGTATCAAGAAGTTGTATTGATTTGACTCTTAGATCAATTATATTTATTAATTGCTGATGAAGAGACGCTGGTGTGCACACACATATTAATAATAATTAATAATGTTACTTAATAATGTTGAAATAACTAGATAATAAAACTAATAAAATAAACCTTTATGGAATTGTTTGAATGACTAATAAATCGTTAAATTTATGTAAACTGAAATTATTTTAATAAGTCCGCCATATCCAATCGAAATATAAACTTTTCTACTTACTTCTTTCTTAATCGGGCATTAGGTTTCTTAGCTTATAAAATATAGCTGTTAATAGAGATTTTCCGTTAAAGTGTCTTCTATTTTAAATAAAGAATGCAAAAAACTTACCTTATTTTCACCATCCAAGCGCTCTTGATAGGCAACATTCTTCATATGCTTCAAATATGCTGTCGTAATCGGCACACTGTAGTCAACGTCGTCGCTATAATACAAGCCTCCAGGCCTCCACGGCTTTGGAACTCTGCCAAAGTCTGAAGTAGACGGCAAAAGTTTCTTCCTCGGCGGAGACGATTTAGGCGGATCTTTAGATGTCAAATTAGCCACGTCTAACGGATTGTACTTCTTAACTTCCTCCCTCTCGCTCTCTTCCTCTTTTTGTAAGGGACTGTCAGCTCTAACGTCTTCGACGTCGATCAAGCTGTCGTCTTTTTCAATGTCAACGGCTGGTATGGGTTCTGATTCTAAAGGCTCGATTGACGGACTTCGTTCAAATATCGTAGAGGAGTACTCTGCTTTCTTTGGAGTTAGCTCGATATATGTTGGTTCATCGTCTGCGTCTGTAGGACGAGGACTGTCAACTTTTTTCAATGGTTGGAGATCCGTATAGTCATATTTCGGTTCGAAGGAATAGTTTTGTGCGGCATCTATTTCGGATTCCCAGTTTCTGGCGTAGTCGGGAGGGCAGTGGGGGAGGAATGGAAGGTAAGGGGGATGTCGGGTCGGAGATGGTGAGGGCGTTGGGAGGGGAGGTGGAGACGCACTTCGAGGCCGACGAGCACATTCTGCGCATCCTGTCAGGAATCTGGTGACAGCTTCCCGGGGAAGAAATGCGTATGTTTCCGTTATCTAAAAGGGAATTTTTTTTAAAATGTTAATGCTGCCATCTATGAACAGTCGTTGTACTTTCAGTTACAGTACGACCAACAACATAGGATTAATTTTGAGTGAGGATTGTAGTTTATAAATCGTGCACTAGATGGCGCGATTAAGCAAAATGTTTTTAACATTTATTTTTTATAACATGATTAATACCAATTGCAAAACTGTATTAATATCAAGGTGTGTTATTATTATATAATTAATTAGTTGTTACTTTTAGTGTCGTTCAGAATATAACTACTACTTCCTTGACACAACGCTAGATGGAAGTTTTGTCCATTAACACGATTATTTCCCTAGTTTAATATACGAGTAAGTGTGCATAGTATCAATCATGTTCCTAATATTAGTAAAATGTTTTATAAAGATATAATAAAAGGTAAACACAATTTATAAGGATCGCTTACAGTTCGATATGTTCGTTTTTGTCCTGCATGTTTTCCCGGTCTTCCTTCAAGTTCCACATGAACTGTATAGATTATATCGAAGAAATTTTCAACAATTGCAACTTTTCTGTAGACAGGTTCTTGATTAGGCGCATTCTGTAACAAAATTATTGCCTATTAAGTCATAGTCGTTACTGTGTTTAGCGCCATCTATTGGCATTAAAACTAGTTTTGTAGTTTTGCTACTTGTCTCTAGAGGGAAGCTCTGGTCGCATTCATGTGTTCATTTAAATTTAGTACATATTTAGATTACATTTATACATTCTTTTTCTAATGCAAAATAAGAATAAGTTGTACTTGTAAAAATAACTCAGTGAAATTAATTTAAATATAAAAATAACACAGTTTTAGCAAATTGGCTGGCTTTGGCCTCTCTATTTTAAATACGAATTTTATTAGTGCTTGCGAGCCTTCTGGCAGTGTGAGGGTCCGTGAGCGGCGAGTATCACTCAACATCAGATGAGCGTCCTGACCCCTAGTTTGACACCTAGTAAAAAAAATTGGCTAGTTAAGTTAATAAGGATCTTTGTAGGTAATTATATTAGAGCTCGTCTCAAAAACATGATTTCTAGGTTGAACTTCTTTCGATCTAATTAATTAGGACTAATAATTTTAATATTATATGTTCACTGAAGTGTAATAAATTTTTGACAAAATATAGTTGGAAACTAATGTTTAAATATCTATTTGTAAATCTAACAAAAAGCCAGGGGGGGGAGAGGGGGGAAAACACAGCTTAGAGATTCTTTGACGGGGAGTATCCAGGGCGTGATTATGCCCTGGGCGTTAATGACCGTGCCCCGGGCAGCGTAGGCGTGCCCTGGGCGGAGTTCGAAACCTAATGGCCGCGGCAATTACGTCCTCGCACGCATTTTTAGTGTTGTCCACACTATATCGATTCTTATTGAGTGTAATTGTTCTTTTACTAACTATAAAATCCTAAATCCGAATCCGACAGATGGTGTCATACATTTCTGCTTTGATTTGTTGATCAGCATTCTGCCTGACACATGTAGAATGTTGAGTCTATACGAACAGTTCCATTCGCAAACGAGCAAATGTTGATTGTTTAGGAATGAAAATAGCGCGCCTAACAACTTTTATGCTTAAAAGATACGAAAAAATATGCCGTCACAAATTGTATTCACACATCAATTATATTCGAATATAAAAAACCAAACAGTAAAAAAAACTATCCAACTAACTAAATAGAAATTTATACCTCATTAAGACACCAAAATTATAGGAAGCATGAAGATTGTTGTAAAATATATCAATATTTTCATTAATGTTAGTTTTTTTTACGGCTCTGTCACGATTTGTGCATTAGCCAGCGTCAAGTATAGGATTTTTTATAATTTGTGCTTGTCTTTAGAAATTCGACCGTGTCCTCCATGTACGGTTTAAGCACTCGCACGGTACCGCACAACCCTCCCAAAGGCCGAGAACAAATTTTAAATTAAATTAAAACTTGCCCTCAAACCGGGAATCGAACCCGGTACCCCTCACCTAGCTGCCACTTAATAAGACCGCTAGGCTATGAGGCCCCTCTAAAGGAAACTTTCAAATACTGATTCACCAATAAACTGTCAAGTGTCATCTGTCAGCGCAATGTGACATTGAACAGTTGTGCGAAATGTGAAGATAACATCACTAGCTCCCCCAATTAGCGAGCCCGCGAACCCAACGTCAAATAAAAATAAAATGTACGAAATATCTCCAAATTCACGTTAAGGCACGGATCTCATTTCACAATGAAAGGGTGCGTTTAAGCTGTCAACATTTTCAAAATATTATTCAGAATTGTAATTAGACTGTGTTCTGTGATTGAAAGAAATAAATTAAAACTTATATAGTATATTGAAATAATTTGGCGCATTTGGGAGATTATATGAAACAGTAACCTTGAATAAAAATATTGCGTGAAAACCAAGATTGGACGCAGGATTACGCGTATTCTTTGATAATGTAAGAAAAAATACAGTTTATATATACATATGTATATATATATTTTCTTAATACATGTGTCTTTACTAAGACACAGAAAATACGATCCGATACGATCGAGACTTAAATTATTAAGACTAAAAAGTGATTTAAGTCTATTTTAAACAGAAGAAACTGTCCAATAACACTACTGACAGTCTCTATTAAGGGGAAAACTAGCTTCCGCACACAGATTCGCGTGGATTTTAATTATTTCAGTACGATTTTTGGGACCAAATCAACAATAATACAAAATGCTGCGAACACTGCTCACTAATGGCTCTGAAAGGGGCCAGCCCTTAGCAAGAAAGACGTGATTTCTCTCCGTATCTTCGAGCGGAAGATTCTTTAGATTTTTGTAGAATCTTAAGCTCTGTTTGCGACGAGGGTATTTGGCGTATTCGCTACAATGAAGAACTTTATAACATCCTAGGCGACGCCACCATCGTCCAATTAATAAAATGCAACAGGCTCAAGTGGTTTGGGACATGTGCACCGAATGCCGGACGACAGACTCCCAATGTCCTTACTGAACTTACAACCCAGTGTTAAGAGAAAACCCGGTAGACCGAGGCTGCGTTGGTAATGGAGTTGTCCAGGACCTCCAAACAACAGGGGTTCAAAGTTGGAGGCAGGAACTGTATAGATTGCGATGGCGAAGTGGACTTGAGGAGGCTAAAGCCCACAAAGGGCTGTACCATTGAAGATGATGATTCAACAATAATTTCAATGAAATTACTTAAAATTTCACGCCATCTCTTGGTGAAATCCTTTCCCTAGCTTTTGAGTTTTTGCGTTTATAATTATTTAACGATAAAGGTTTGATCTACTTAAATGACTCCTTAATAAGAAATATACCTATAGTATATAATAGTGATGTGTTTAACACAATATCGACGTTTCTGGGTGAGCGCGCCGATAATGAGTCAGCCGAGCGAGCGCCGCGTCATGTCGCCTCATCACTGCAATCTCCCACCCATTGATAGGCATTGACTATGAAATATCGATATCGATAAATTATTCTTAATTTTTAAAACTGGTATGGCGAAATAAAGCTTTGCGCAAACTTGAACAATATTTATTATTTAATTATTATTTTTATTTTATTTATTATTTTATATTTATAGTTACATAAGGATGACAAATTGGTTTTAGAACGAGAAATTAAGTATTATTTGTCGTTTTAAATGTTAAATTTCAGTTTTCATTATATAGTTTTGTCTATTGATGTGCTTATTTGTTTTATTTTTCGTATATAATATTGTTTATCTATGTAATCTGTGTTGGCTTTCTGTACTGTCTAAGTGTTTGTTTTATAATACTATGTATGTTAGCTGTAAGATTACTTATAATTAAATAAATAAATAAATTTACGAATTTACTTTATTTCGAATTCCATAAGCTCACATACATTATACATAAGGGGCCGTTCAGTATTACGTAAGCACTGTAGGGGGGAATTTGATTTTCTTATTTGGTGATTACGTCAATTAATTATTTACACATTGTCTATGCTTGAAAACGAAATGCATTTTCAAGGATTCATACAAAAAATGAATACGTTAATGTACTATTATTTTTGAGAGTTTTGCTTACTTTTGCTCACAAGAGGCCCCTCCAAGAGGTAGAATTAAATTTCAGCAAATCTGCTTACGTAAGTAAGTACGTGAGGGTGTGTTTGTGGGGTGTGCAAAGGACAAAAAATTTCGAATTAGTGTTAGTGCACGTTAGTGTCAAACTGTGGTAAAAGTAATAAGAACAGTGTCTTTCCCTTAATAGTGTAAGTAATGTAATTGGACATGACGTTATTTTTCCTTTCAAATCAAAATCATTCATTCATTTAGGTAACGCAATGTACACTTATGAACGTCAAAAATAAATTCATATTAAATGCTAAATGCTTTAAATTTTACATTTACTGGCAGTTCTCAAATCAAGATCCGTCTATACAACGTCTGCAACACCTTCAACCGAATGTTATTTAGTAAATGAAACTTATTTTATATAGGTAATTTAATATTCCAGTAATAAATATCAATTCCATAAATGGACAATGCTGCATCCCTAAGCAAATTTGCAGTCCAGAGTATTTTAATTAATTTAAAAAAAATATTTTTTTAAACATTTCACCGGTATGATTATTAGATAAATTTATACCAATCGAAATTATGCGCCAGAAAGCCCATAGAATTGCCGGCCTTTTAAGAAGATTAGGTTAGTTTTTAAGTCGAATTGGGCTCGGAATTATTTAGTGTGTATATCTTATTTATTTGTACATCTCAAGTCGATATATACATCTTGTCATAGTCACTAAAATCGAAGTTTTTAGGGATACATACTTATCAATAATACCCTGATAAAAAATATTAGATTGAAAAAGTTGCCAAAAAATTTACCTACATGCAAAGTATAAAACAATTTTGTTTTCCCCTTACCAATGACTTTCTATGTGCGCATTAAACATGCACTCGTGGAACGGTGAAAACTTTGAAAACACCGGCTTTAGGCAAAAAGTCCACGGTGTATGGATTATATTTATTGACATATTAAATTGACAATCATAAAATAGCAAGTTCTGTCATTAACATTAGTTCTACATTTCGGTGAAGGTCTTGTATAGCAGCTTATACTATTACTGGCATTGTTCTCAAATCAAAAGAAATCAAGTTTTCCGTAGAACGGAAGAGAAGAACGCAATATACTCTCCACCACTCTTTTTAATCAGAGCTTTTTAGTCCAAAAATACATTAACGCTTAGGTTAGTCATAAAGTAGGCTAATGTTCCTTGATGTCTCCAGTGTCAAGACACAAGTAAAAACTGGCTACCATATCCGCAAGAACACCAGCAGTAAACAAATGCTATCATGCGCAAGTAAACCGGTTTGCCGCGCATTAATCAGACGGCTGTCCCGGCACGCGCTTTTAAATGAAGATCCTGGCCGAGCCTACAGTGGGCACTTACGTAGGGCTGGCACTAACGACCAGTTACCATATTAAGTTATAATATGTGGGATTTTTATATAGTACCGGAGGATTGGTAACTTAGATAAAATAAAATAAATAAATCAGTGATATTAAGTGCGCCAGAAAGCTCACAAGAACGTTGCCGGCCTTTTAAGAATACTCTTTTCTTAGAGCAAACTAAGTCGAATTACGGGGCAAGCTCGAGGTAATACTTTTCGAAAAGTGGGTACATCTTATTATTTCTACCGTCTACATGGACGGTATTGGAACAACCTGTCATAGACATGTCCAAAATCCTATTGCGGGAGATATTAGGGACTGTGTCTGCATACAAAGGCATGGCCTACTTATCTTAAAAATAGAAGAATAAATAAATATTAGAGGTCTAAGTTGCCAGAAAGCAGTGTTGCCCTAGATTCACTGTGTGACTCTCATCCCTGAGGCCTTAGTTTCGATCCCCGGCTGTGCACCAATGGACTTTCTATGTGCGCATTTAACATTCGCTCGAACGGTGATAGAAAATTGTCGAAAATTTTTATCGGCTTTTTTAGTCCTTAATTAAGTACTAGAGTTGATGTATCAGGCTCATGACCAAAGCTGATCAGCTAATTTGCCTTTTCAGATTGACATTTATAAAACAGAATTTGTGACCGACTATATATATAAATCTGAGGCCCAGATCTAAAAAGGTTGTTGTACTTTAATAAATAATAAAATCATTTTATTTCAGATACATTCAAATACATGTTATATTTATGTAATCTCATTAATAAATAGCAATTTTATTGTAAATTTAAAGACTTTGAATGAACGTGTATTTCTGTTACAACAAAGTTGTAGGCTTTTGATTATAAAAATCTTGTTCTCGGAAACGGAAGTGGAGAGAAACTCGCAAGACTGAAAATGATTGCCCCCTCATAATATCGTATATAACAATTTGTTTGAAAGGGGATGCGCCTTTGACATTGCGTATTTATCAACGCTTAGTATTATCTGTATATGCATAATTACCGTAAATTATAATCTATAGGCGATGTTGTAAGCTGTGGCAATTTTAATTCAAAACAGTAATACCTTGTCAAAGTCATAATAACTTATCCTTGGTACCATAATGTTAATAAAGAAAGCTTTAATCATTCTTTTAGATTAATGATCTCAGGAAGGAAGGATTTTACAGTTTTTTTATAACAGGGGCTCGCGAGTGCGTTGCCGTGGAATTGGTACGCTCTTATCTTGAAGGACCCTATGTCGAATTGGTTCCAGCGGGCAGCTGGGTCCACATAGTGGGGGCGGAAAAAACTACCTTAAACGCTCAGTTGTGGAACTACATACGTTGAGGTGATATAGGTGATTTCGCATTCTGACGTGCGATGATGAATGTCAGCTGCAGGTAATCCGAACAACTCCTATGAACAATGGTTAATGTTCTGGTCGTCGACGATTCGAACCAGAGGTTTAGAAGAGAAAGAATTATATAATATGTAAATTGAATTAAATAAATATAAACAATTACTATGGACCCGCACGCTTCTTGAATTGAGACCTCGGCAGAACAAAGCACCGCACGACCGCCCGGTTAGCTGGATACAGAGGCCAGTGTAGGGCGTACTGGAGAAAAATGGAGGAGGTCTACGTCCAGAAATGGACCAAATAAAGAGGCTGATGATTATGACTAAGAAGACGCAATTACTGCTATACATGAAATTTAACCGGGAAACTGCTGGAAGCTAGTGTAAAGTTGTTTTCATCTACCAGGCAATTATAAATCCGAGGAAATTTACGCTTTACTATTGTTTTATCAATTCAAAACTGTTGCCGAAACAACATTATTACGCCATTGGCACTTGTGTGACCTAGTGTAATGTGAATTGTACCTACAAAGACTAGCTATAGCGTATTTACGAAGTGTGAAGGAGGCAGCGAAGTCATGTGATCCGAACATCAGTCACCTATCCCTCGTCAGCCCTGACACATCAGGGCTGTCAACAAAATAACTTATATAATATTTTTTTAATAAAATCTTTAGGGGAATCTTTTTATCTTACAATTAATTTCTATCTTCAGTAAAAATAAATAGTGTCATTAATTGATGGTCTATAAATTATAGATTCATGACCATGTATTTCGTGATAATCTATATTTATATCAAATATAAAATGCATCGCAATGTATGTTGCTAAGCGCTAAAACTCGGAGACGAATAGATGAATTCAGGTATATTTTTAAATCTTAATTTTTGTAAAAGCCAACAGCAAAATGTTCCATATGTTGATATGTAGCTACAAAATAGGTAGATTAAGTCAAAATCATATTAAGGCGAAACGAAGTTCACGGTTAGTGTATAATATTAAAAAGTAAAGAAGTAAGCAAGAAAAGAAAACATTTTTTATTAATTATTTAGTGACCTGTCCCAGCTTTGGCTGAACATTATATCGGAAATAAATAAAGCGTATGTTCGGGTAATGTCATACAAAAAAAATTAATAACATTAAAAACCTATCTAAGTAGAGCTATTTTTACACTAACCCAAAGTATCAAGATTATATCGACATCGTTAAGTGACATCCCTAGCCGTTACATCGTTGGGTGGGGAAGGAGGGGGCGGAAGTGTCGTGCGTGCGATTTAATTCCATCGCCTTTCGCCTCACCCGGCCGCGGGCCCGCTGGAGTGTGCTCGAGACGTAGTAATGCGAGCGTTTATCGATAAAATAGCATATTTAAAATAGCATTTTAACGAGAATTTACTTGTAATTGTTTTTTCTACTTTTTATTATAGAACAGGAGGCGAACGGGCAGGAGACTCAACTGATGATAAGTAATACCGACGCTCATGGACACACTGTCAGAAAGCTTGCTTGCGGTGCCGGGTTATAAAGGATTGTACGCTCTTTTCTTGAAGGAACGTAAGTATCATTGATTCGGAAGAACTTCAGTGGGCAGCTGGTTCCACGTAGTGGTTGTGGGCGGCAAAAACTGACTTAAAAAGACTCAGTTGTGGAACGACGGACGTCGAGGTGATAAGCTTAGTATTTTGTATTCTGCCTCGACATTAAAGGGAACTTAGCTGCAGGTATTAATCCTAACAACTCCTCTGAACACTCTCCATGGTAAATGCGGTAGGATATCCTCCGCATTTACCATGGAGAGTGACCCTATATCTCTACGCAACGCGAAGGGATCTAGCCGCTTGCATAGGGATTGGTCAGATGACAGATAAGATGACATTACCAATAAACATCTGTAGACTTATCGTTTTTTAAATTATTTGTTTACTATCTTTGTATTATAACACATTAAAATATAATTTAATTATAATATATAATCAGACAACCACTCCAACAACAACATTCTACGATAAATAATAATATTATCGATATTCAGTTTTCATCTCAAAGAACATCACTAGTGAAAACTAGAAGCACTGTCGGCCGTCAACGGGCTGCTCGTAAAATACCAAGAGCAGGTGATTCTGTCGGCGCGGCGCTCTACCTAACAATCCACCGAGTACTGAGCCACAGATACCAATAGGGCTGGCATTTTTTATAATATTTATTAGTTATATTAATAAAAATATGATTTTCAACAAGTTTAGATAGATAAATATATATAAAAATAAAAATGTGTTTATTCATTTGACAACAACTCATAATAATTGTTTTCAACACTGTAGAGTGAGTGTATGGGTGCATGTTAGTTAATGAGTAAGTGTGTGGGTGCGTGAGTGAGTGAAATGTGTAACTACTACGTATTAATAGGTATCAGAAGCATCTCCAACGATATCCAATAGGAAAACTAATTTAAATATAGCACCGTAATGTTTCTACCCAGTCTTTCTAACTTTCCAAACCATTACCCAAGAATTGAACCTAAGACCGGCGTGTTTGGATAAGCCGATTAAAGTGTGGTAGCATCAGGAACTTGTCTTGAGTTTTGACAGCCCTAAATTTACGTCATAAATTACCTCGCATCTCGACGTAGTGGGGACTAGCGCTAAACTTATGCTCCCCTGGTACATTTCAAGACGTGTACCCGTTATGTGCTCGCTTAAAAGGTACTTCGAGGAAGTAAATAAAAATAAAATCCAGCTCTCAGTGGAAGTACTGGTCTCCTGTACCCTTCCTTGGCGGCTTAGAAAAACTAAATCTTTATTTTGCTTGTTATTTCTATTTTTTTTGTAAAAAAATAAAATGTCTTGTAAAAAAAGTGCTATACAAAAATGTGGTGCCCTTTTTAGGTCTGGGCCTCAGATTTCTGTATCTCTTTCATGATCATTTGTCAATCTAATAGGCAAGTAGGTGTTCAGCCTGTTCAAGCCGTCGACTTTTTGTGTCTAAAGCCGGTTTTCTCACGATTTTTTCTTTCCATCACCGTTAGCGAATGTTAAATGCGTACATAAAGAAAGTCCATTAGTGCACAACCGGGGATCGAAACTACGACCTTTAATGCTAGAACATTTTGCAGTAAAAACCGCTAGTTCTCCAGGACGATCGCGGAGGATCTACAAAAAAAATATAACAAAATTGTAAAGTAACTTACTTATTACTATTCCTTCCAGACAAAGCAGTTTTAATTCTAAATGAATAAAATTATATAAGAATATCCCCCAACTTCGATTTTAGAGCACTCTTGGGCCAAGTGGACCGGCGCTAATTACTTAGGTTGATTTAAGTTGACGCCTGGTGACCGGTGACCCCAGAGCTGGTGCTTTCCTCGCTCAACGAATATCGCAATACAGCAAGGAAATGCTGTCAGCGTTAAAGGTACACTGCCACAGGGACCAAACTTATTAAATTTGATTTAATTTTCATTATTATTAATTTTTATTATTAATATAGTTTAAGAAAATTGGAAATACTTTATATTTAATTGTTATATTAAAAATACATTTTAATGAAAAAAAATCTTCAATGAAATCTTTTGGCACAGAAACTATACGGACATTTCGTTCTGTCTGGCCACTTCCCGGCGCCATAGCTTATTCTTAAACATAAATAATGAATTCATTACTTTAGATTTAAACCTAGTAAGAGAACAGAACAAACCCTACTCCTGTCTTTCCTTCTACAACTTCTCTCTAGAATCTATCTCTCATTGGTCTCGTAAGAAACGTTTACGTTTGACGAATTTTTCTCCGACCGCAAATACAAGTACCGCAAAATCTTTTTCATTGTTCAGATTAATCATAACCGATATTAGGATGAAAAAACCAGAAGAATAAACCTAGCATGGAATAAATTTTGGGCATTAACGGAAGTTCTGAAATGCGACCTTAAGTTGAGTATAACTAGAACAGACATGTCTTTGGATAGACATAAAACACAGTCTTACAAAAAAACAGACGTGGTAACACCCTCAAAAAAGTTAGAGTGGAAATGGGCCGGTCCATGAGACCACGTTTGTAGAAAGAAAAAAGAAGGGACCTATCTAAGAAGATGAATTAAAAGAGGAGGGAATGATTAGAAAATAGTAGCGAAGATGAGAGTCAAATGGAAGAATTTGGCAGACATCAGTCCAATAGAGGTCGTGTACATAGATTAAATATAATAACAAACTTACAGTGCCACATGCTTTTCTTGGCCGGTAAGAGCGTCGCTGTCATGGATATTAGTATAGCCAGTAAATAAAAATTAACCATTATAAGGGGAATAATTTGATGTCATGCAATTTTAATAATTTATTAAACAATGTATACTAGTATCTAGAAAATACAGTTCTAGGCTTAAATAAATGTGACACAAACTTAGGAACAACTGATGATGGGTTTTGTTACCTGTACTATTAATATAATATCTTTTAAGATACCTAGCAATAAGAACCGTTCGATAATTAAAACTTTACCATTGTAATAAATAATGCTAGAAATAAAAATATGTTGGTAGATAGTTGTATTTGAGAGCTAACTGACAGTGTCAGTCTGACATTTCAAAATGGCGACAGTAGTACCACTTTCAGCCGCCGGCCAAAAAAAGTATGAGGCAATGTAATCTTTATTATAACCAATTTAGGTTATTTTATTATATAGCCTGTGACATAATTAACGGGTTTCTATTGGTAAAATAGACTATGATAAGGGAGCGTTCAAGTAATACGTCACACAATGTTTGGAGATT